AGATGAAGCACCAGCCTTGGATTTTGGGGTTCCAGTTCCACTTCAGAGTGGTTTATGGGAACGTCTGGTGTCACACCAATGAGACAGTTGGCCAAATTGTCTAAAACCCTGTCGAAAGAGTGCTCCAGTTGCTGTTATTAATGGGCCCTGGCTTCTCAAGGGTGTCCTGCGGCTACATAAAACTAGACTGGGGTTTATAAATAGAGGCACACACTACGAGAGCAAGGCATGAGGCTGTTCTATTGCTCGCTACCAGTATCCTGCTTGTACTGATACTAGTCCTTATTTTGACCCGCTACATATGGCCCTTGCGTGGGTTCTATCCCTCTAATCGCCTCCCGGTCATGTGTCCATCAAGACATGCCTTAAATGTTGCTAATGTGCCTGCTTCCACCACCCCCACTGGCAGTGCATACCAGGCACCCACCACCCTCAGGGTGAAAAATTTTCCCCACACTTCTCCCCCAAACTTTTCCCCCTCTCACTTTGAACCTGTGCCCTCTTGCCGCCCTGGGAAAAAGGCCTCTGGCTATTCACCCCCTCTTAATTTTGTAGACCCTATCACGTCACCAACCCCCAGCCTCCGTCTTTCCAGTGAAAATAATGAGTTTATCCAACCTCTCCTCATAACCTCTTCCCCAGACCAGGCCACATCCTGGGAAACCTTCTCTGCACCCTCTCCAAAGCATCCTCGTCCTTCTGGTAGTGTGACGAGCAGAACTGCACGCAATATTCCAAATGCGGCCTAACTAAAGTTTTTTACAGCTGTAAAATAACTTGCTGACTTTTTTTTACATTCGATGCCTCGGGCATGAAAGGCAAGCATGCTGTATTTCTCCTTGACCACCGTATCCACCCGTGTTGCCAGTTTCAGGGATCTGTGGACTTGTATGCCCAGATCCCTCTGTATGCCAGTGCTCCTAAGGGTTCTGCCATTCACTGTATAATTCGCACCTGAATTTGAGCTTCCAAAATGCATGAGCCCCCATTTGTTCGGATTAAACTCCAGCTGCCGTTTCTCTGCCCAAATCTGCAGTCTATCTCTATCTCGCTGTATCAGTGACTCTGCTTCCCTGCTGTTGTTTCCTTAATCCATCAAGATACTGTCTAACTCAGCCCTGAATATATTCAGCGAACCAGCTCCTAATGCTGTTTGGGGTTGGGGGGAGGATTCCAGACTCTGAGAGCCGGAACTCTGCCTTATCTCCGTCTTAAATGGAGACCTACAACTGCTTGACCCCCTCACTGGGTGGAATTCTCACCTCAGGAATTAGGCCCAGCGAACCTTTATTTGCCCTCTCTAGGGCGAATGTATCCTGCATTGGGTAAGGAGACCCAGACTCGTGTGCCCAGCTCGTGGAATTGCAGCTAGTCCTTACCACACTTTCCCTACAATATAAACGGCTGTGTTTGAGAGACAAACATTCATGGTCACCTGCTCCTCCCTTACTCCCACCGTGGGATCTTGGCTGTCAACTTTTGGCCTCGCCGTCCCTCCGCCTGTACGGCAGTGGGTCAGGCAGGGCAGTAGTTCGAGGGTATGTTCCAGGGGCAAGACGTTTATTGTCCCCATGAGGGTGGCATTGAGACTGTTGAGGGGCGTATCGGGTCCTGTGGCTGCGGGCACGCGCACATATGTGTTTTTAAAAAGGGAGCTGTGCTCTGGGAGAACCTTGTACCGCCACCCACTCTGTGTGTGTGTGTTTGTTTGTTTGGTAGAGGACATCGAAAGGCACTTGA